AAACGCTCCTGCAGTTCTACTCAATGACGTCATATCGTCAGTACTTAAGGCTCCCACAGACCGAACGCGTCAAGCGTCAAGCAGCGAGCAGTAACCAATCAGCGAGACGATATTTTCTACGCCACTGCTGATATCACCTCACTGATTGGGTTCAATTGGGTTGCTGCTCGCTGCTTGACGCTTGACGCGTTCGGTCTGTGGGAGCCTTTACAGTGAATATCGAAACGCACCCTGCGAATGCCTCACCTCGCGAGCCGCAGTAATGAAAGTAAGGAGTGACGACAAAATCTATGACGTCACATGAACACGAAAACGCTTTGACAGCTTACTGCCGCGTATATTGGAACGGATTTACAGTGCTGCCAGTACTGCGAGTGAATAGCGAAACGCACCCACAGTCGTGTGCTGGCGCGCAACCTTGCCAGTAGTGCCACCTTAATTTAGTCACTAGCAAGTGATGGCCAACGTTAGAACGATAATTTATAATCTATTACATCTATTACATCTATTACATCTCCCTTTTTTTTTATTTGCTCTGTTTCCGGAGAATGACAAAAGAAGTACTTCACAACGTCTTATGGTATCAACTGAACACAAAATGAACTTTGAATATAACGCAAGATAAAATAAACTTAGAAGATAATGCAAAATAAACTTAGAATATAACGCAACTACAAGTACTGGGTTGTTTTTTTTTCAGACAAAATCTTTTAGATACGCTGGTTTTTTAATAATGCGACCAGATCTTGTAGTTACTGTTCGCTCGCTAGTTCGAGTATTATTTACAGGCTGTTGCAAGGTCTTGGGACCTACTTGTCTTTGACTTACATTCTCGTTTGAAACTCTAAGGGTGCCGTCCCATGGCGCGTATCGAGATACGCGCGTATCGGGCGTATCGACTCTGCGACCAATCACAGACGATCCGCCGTTTTTGATACGCTTAACAATCTTTTGAACATTGTTTAAGCGGATCGCACACTCACACAGTTCCATCGTAACGTACGTGTAGGTCGAGCCCTCTTTCTTGGGTTCAGGTGTCATATTGAGTGTAGAAAGTGCACTAGTGACACTAGAGCAATAGAGAAAAGAGAAGAAACGGAGTATTTACATACGAGGTGCGTGCAATTAGGAATTATTGCGATCTAATACACAACAGAATACTCAGGAGAATTTGGACAGTTTCCCGCAAAGCTGATCGTACGTATTCGATCGTACATATGCGTAGTCACGATGATGTTCCAATGAAATCCTGAGTGACACTGTTTTGTGTTTAGGTTAACCCGAATCGAAGGCCGACACAAGCAGGATTGTCAGATTCTCGAGGAAGGGCCGCGTGTTCATCGGACTGAGACACTATACGACCAACGCTATCCGGTCCGACGCATCTATGCCCGTAGTACATGCGGTTAAGGCGAAGAGACGCTCGGAATTGAAGACTTTACTTTTGCTGGCCGCCCCCGCTTGCTCTCTTTGTGATATTTCTCATAGGCGGTGTGAGCAACTTTGGCAGAGTTTGTCTAATGTCGACGGCGGAACACAAAATCACGCAGTCCCTTAGGAAACAGGCGTACGCCGCTATCCTTCAACAGGAAACGGCAATGTTTGACAGAGAAAGTACGGGAGAACTAGTCGGGAGATTGAGCGGTACGTTTCACGCTTTTAATCAGATATAACGCATCATTAAGGCATCGAAATCTATCATTTTGATTTCATTATCCTTTTTTTCCAGAAGATACACAACTTATTAGCTCCACTGTCACGTCCAATGTATCAGATGATTTGCGCTCTGCTATTATGGCCATTACAGGAATGTCCATGATGTTTTATGTCGCCGTCGCTAGCATAATATCGATTAATGAAAGTAATTTGGTTCATAAAGGTGTGAGTGAGATTGATTTCTTTCTCGGCGCTGTAAATGAACGCTCGTCCGCACTTTCTCTGTATATTTTGTGTTGTGATACTATTCGCTGTAAAACGTATTCTCAATCAGTGATATATATTGTAATGATTACTTGTAATAAAAATAAATCTGATTAACTGAGTTATTGTCACTGATTCACTCTTCGCAAATTTATTACTGCTATCTTATTTGTTACTATCTACATATTTGTTATTCTAGACTATACTGGTTTCTTTGTTAATTAAACGCCATATCAGGTATATAAGCATTAATTATAACACAATTTTGAATAAATATATTTAATACAACTCAATTTGTGCGCAGGCATAGAAAATAAGAGAAAATAATGACATTAAAAGTAATGTGATGCTAATATAAAAATCTAGAACAAAGTAGAAAATGAATTACAGTAGAAGATAAAAATATATTTTGAAATAACGTTGTTGAAAAAAAGGCTAACATAATACTAAGATAATATATTATTATAAATTTAATTAATAATTAATTACGAAAACAAGTTTTAGACACGAGAGTATAAATGATTATACTCCTCGAATGGGGGGAAGAGGGCAAAGCTCAAAGATCACCGGCGTATTTGACTCGGAGTAGGGATCTTGATCTCGACACTGCCGTACACCGATGTCACGCAAAAGTCACAAAAATTCTTCGACGAACGCAAGCGAGGTGATCCTCTTCGAGGAGAAAACGAGGGCGATCTGGATCTGAAACGTAAATCGACATGGTGACACTGTTCTCGGAGTAACGTAGGTGATTTGGATCTAGATTAAGCGGTGGCGAATACCTTGGCGATGACCTTGGCGATCTTGATCTCGACACTGCCGTACACCGATGTCACACAAAAGTCACAAAAATTCTTCGGCGAATGCAAGCGAAATGATCCTCTTCGAGGAGAAAACGAGAGCGATCTGGATCTGAAATGTAAATCGACGTGGTGACACTGTTCTCGGGGTAATCTAGGTGATTTGGATCTAGATTAAGCGGTGGCGAATACCTTGGCGATCTCGATCTCAACATAGATTTTTTGCCGTACAACTGGCTTCACTTTGGAGGTTATGACGTTTGCCCTTTTAGGTGCATGCGTCACAAGCGTGTTTGTGTGCGTGTGTTCAGTACGCGTCGCCAAACGGTCCTACCGTCCCATGGAGCGGATAAAGCGGAAGCGTAACCAGCGGATCGTCAATCACGGATCCGTTTCAACGGAATCTTTGAAAGGGCTCTATCGGAAAGATTCTGTGATTGGCGATCCGCTGGTCCGCTTACGCTTAATCTGATGAAATCCGCTCCATGGGACGTTTAGGAGCAAATTTCGGCGTACCAAAATCGGCGGATCGTCTGTGATTGGCCGCAGACTTCGATACGCCCGATACGCGCGTATCGCAATACGCGCCATGGGACGGCACCCTAACACTTGAGTCTCCTATCTCCGTTACATTATTTGTATTTTCTTTATTATTATCATCGCTATGGTATTGCACCTCTTGGTTATTGGTCTCTCTTATCTGTTCAAAGATTTTATCAAACTCTTGTCTGCTATTGAACCTATTCGTGTTTCTTTTTCTCAAAAACTTTCTATTTCTAATGTACATTTGACCATTTTCCTCTAGTCTGACTACATACGATCTTGGACGGCTCGAATCTATTTTTACTATTCTACCCGGTTTTCATTCTTTATTATCCCACTGGATCATAATCTTATCACCTATGTTTAACTCGGGCAAATTTCTCGCAGTTTTATTATAATAAGATTTTTGTTTTTCTTGGTAACTTTTCCGACTTACAATTCTAGTCTTATCTCTACACGGGTTTAACAGCTCCTCCCTTACTGGTACATGACCCTTTAATCTTCTTCCAAACAGAATTTGCGCTGGTGATGGAATTGTTTTACTTATCGGTGTATTACGGTATTCAAGTAATGTTAAGTACATATCTCGCTTATCATATAACGTTTTTTTTTTAATTCTTTTTATCGTTTGAACGTGTCGTTCTATAAAACCATTCGATTGTGGATATCTAGGCGAGCTCGTTTGTTGTGTAATTTCCCACTCTTCAAGAAACCTTTGAAACGCATTGTTTACAAACTGAGGGCCGTTATCCGAATATAATATATCTGGCTTACCATGCCTCGCAAAAATTGATTTTACAGCTGAGATGACTCGGTCGTGAGTAGTATTCTGATTTAGACAAACTACTTCTGGATATCGTGAGTACATGTCTACTAGTAATAGGTATTCTTTCTCATCAAAATGAAATAAATCTACTGCAACACTACTCCAAGGACGATCAGCGGTTTCCCTGTTTATTAACGACTCTTTTTGATTGCTATTTTGGTATTTTAAACAAGCTGGGCAACTATTGATTACGTCCGTAATTTCTTTACCTATAAAAGGCCAATAGACAGTTTCTTGCGCTCTTAAAAGAGTTTTCTCAATGCCCATATGATTATAATGTAACCAGTTTAGAATATCCGCTCGCAAAATTTTTGGGATTACGACTCTGTCACCTCTACACAATACATCTTTTATAATAACGAGCTCGTCTCGAATTATCCAATACGGCCTAATTAAAAGATCTACTTCACTTTTCTGTTTTGGCCACCCTTCTTTTATGATTTTTATTAATTCTTTCAATTCTGGATCTTTACTAGTCTCTTCTCTAATTATTTCAAATTTCTTTGACGTAATACTAACATAGTTTATCAAATCTACTTGTGCCTCTACCGCCGATTCAATTACATCAAAATTTTCATCATTATAATGCGCACGAGATAGTGTATCTGCAAGATACAATTGCGATCCCGGTTTATATTTAACCACAAAGGAATAATTTTGCAGACTAATTCTTAATCTTTGTAATCGCAGCGGACATTTATCTAGTGGTTTTTCGAAAATCGCTTCGAGTGGTTTATGGTCAGTTTCTACTATAAATTCTTTGCCAAACAAAAACTGGTGGAACCTCTGACAACCAAAAACTATTGCTAAAAGCTCCTTCTCTATTTGCGCATAATTTTGTTGGTTTAACGTTAATGATTTTGACGCGTAGGCTATCGGTTTATTTTCTTGCAGAATTACTGCTCCCATGCCATCTTTAGAGCTATCTACTGAAAGTACTATCTGTTTATCTTTGTCAAAGTATCTCAAAACCGGCGCTTCCATCAGTTTCTGTTTGAGTACTTCAAATTCATTTCTATGTAGTGGCAACCACGACCATAACTGATCTTTTTTTGTTAGCGCTCTTAAATTTGAAGTTAGTTTGATAAGTTCGGAATAAACTTTGCCACGTACGTTACCATCCCTAAGAAGCGACTTAACTCCTTCGCATTAGTTGGTTCCGGAATTCTTTTAATTGCTTCAATTTTTTCCTCGTCAATACTAATACCGTTTTCGCAGAATATGTGTCCCACATATCTAACTTGTTTTTTCTTAAACTTACATTTACTTAAATTAAACTTAACTCCGTATTTCCTCGCTCTTCTGAAAACTTTTTGCAAGATATCATCGTGCTCTTGTTCATTTTTCGCGTGAATTATTACATCATCAAAGTAAACTTCAACACCTTCAATATCTCCGAAAATATCAGTAAAGGTTCGTTGAAATATCTCTGGGGCATTTGACGGACCGAACGGCATTCTTAAAAATTTGTACCTTCCGAAAGGGGTCGCAAACGTTGTTAACTTTGACGAGTTTTCCGATAGCTCTATTTGCCAGAAACCCTTATTTGCATCTAATGTACTAAAAATCTTAAATCCTGACATGTCACGCGTGAGCTCTTCGAATGTCGGAATTACGAAATGTTCTCGTAGTATTGCTTCGTTAAGATTTTGAGGGTCTAAGCATATTCTTAAATCTCCATTTTCTTTTCTAACTAAAACGATTGGGTTTACAAATTCAGTTGCTTCTGTAACCTTCACAATAATCTTATCTTGAACCATTCTTTGAAGTTCTTTTTCTAACTTTGGTAATAATTGAAATGGAACTCTTCGACACGGAATAACTACTGCTTGATAATCTGGTTTGAGTTTAAATTCACACGGTTTCATTTTAATTTTACCTGTTCCTTGAAACAAACCTTTTTCTTGCTCAACTAAATCTTTAATGCTTTTATTTCATGTAAACTGTTTCTTGTAATTAAGCCTAAGTCTTGGATGCTTTTGATGCCTAGAATGGGGGGAGATTTGTCAAGCGTTTTTACAATTATAAAATTAATAGTTGTTTTTTGATTACCAACTTCAACTTTTAAATCGCAAATGCCTCTAACTTCGAGCTTTTGGCCGCTATAATTTGAAACTATCATATTTGTTTTCTTTAACTCTTTGTTAATTCCCAAAGTATTAAAAATGTATTGGGAGATAACGTTTACATGAGCCCCCGAGTCAAGCTTGAATTTTACGCGTTTATTACAATCAAGTAGCTTAATCGTTTCATACCAACTGATATCAGGCGCGTTTGATCCTAACGTATCAATTACATACGAACTTTGCGACTCAGTTTCTTCCCCGACTGCGTAAACATTTTCGTTTTTACAAACCTTTGCGAAATGATTTACTTTTTTACATTTCATACAAGTTTTGCCCCACGCTGGGCATTTATAACCGTGTTTATAGCCACATCGGTGACAGTCGTTCCGCTGCTGTGATGCCTCTCTGTAGTCACGTTGTCCGTTGGTCTGCATTCCGCCTCTCTTCTTATGCCTGACGCCCTGATTCACGTTTGGCTTGGTCTTCTTCCCTGCCTTTTTTGTCTCATTTGATTGTTGTTTGACTCCATGAACATCCAGCTTCATAGTTCCCTCGCAAAGTTGTTTTATCTGTAGATCTGCTTGCTCTGCTGCTCTGCATATATCAATGGCTTTTGTTAAATTTAAATCTTTTTCTCGCAGAAGCCTGTCATGCACTTTCGAATCGCGTACACCACACACAATTCGGTCTTTTATTAACTGTTCTTTAAGTGCGCCAAATTCACAATTCGCTGCCAGTCTACGTAAATCTGCAACGAACGAGTCCATGTCTTCTCCTGCTCCTTGCGTACGGGTATTGAACTTGTGACTCTCCACACTCGGATTTTATTTTGGGACAAAGTATTCTTCTAGTTTCCGCTTGAGTAACGTGATGTCGGTTTTTTCGGCATCCGTCATGACAATCGTCTCGACTATTTCACGAACATCTTCTCCAATACAATGTAGCAACGCTGCCGCCTGAATCTTAGTGGTCTTCGCGTCTAATCCTGAGGCTACCGAGAAAAGCTCAAAGTTTGCCTTGAATTTCTTCCATCCCTTTCCGGGATCCCCTTCTAACGACATCGGATTCGGTTGCTTGAAAGAGTCTATCTTTCTCTGTTCGGAATTACGTCTTACTCGTCACTTTGTCCGGCTCTTGGTGTCACTGTGCTTTCTACCACTGTTCTTCTTCCTGACACTCACGGTTTTTTGCAATTTGTAAGGTTCGTTTTCGACTGCGCCATGTTATAGGTTCATTAATACCAGAACACTATATATTGGAAGAACGTGTCTTTATTACGTGTCTCTGTGTCAGCCATTACAGTCGTGTGCTGGCGCGCAACCTTGCCAGTAGTGTCACCTTAATTTAGTCACTAGCAAGTGATGGCCAACGTTAGAACGATAATCTATAATCTATTACAGTTAGGACCCTACAAAGAACGGTAGAACATATTTGGTTTGAAAGTGGCATCTTAGATGAGGCCTTCGACATGCTCACATGTGCAGTAAAAAATATGTCTGAAAATGAAAGATATTGTATAATTGTTGCAGACGAAATGGCAATTAAAGCTGGATTAGTGTTTGATCCTTTAACTAAAAAAATGATAGGAAATTGCACCTTTCCTTCTCATGTTGGACCAGCTAAAAAAGTCCTTGTCATTATGTGTGGAGGAATTAGTAGACGATGGAAAGTTGCTGTGGCTTATTTTTTTACTGGGAAGGAAGGACCCAAAATAATGGATAAAAAGTCTAGCAGTGTCTTCAAGGATATAATACTGAAAGTCATAGACAAGTGTGAAAAAATAGGGCTGAAAGTTCACTCAATTACAACTGACATGGGGAGTGAAAATCGAGCCATGTGGAATATGTTTGGTATTGGTTGCACACGTGAATCTGACGCTGTAGTCAGCATACAGCATCCAGTTAGAGCAGAGGATAAATTTTACTTTATACCGGATCCAGTACACTTATTCAAAAATTTCTTAACTATGCTTGAAAGCAACAAAATTATTTATCTTCCTTATGACTTTCTTGTTTCTGAGAAATTAACGGATCCAGTAGTTAATATTCAACATATAGATGATGTGTTAGAGTTTGAATTACAATTTGAAATAAAGATAGCTTACAGATTAAAGAAGATTAAGCTTCATTGTCGAAATTTATACGAAAAGATGAAAGTTGGAACGGCCCGGTCAGTCTTCAATCGGCGAACCAAGATTGCGCTGAGAAAATATGCTGAACGTACTGGTAAAGACGCTTATAGGATCACTGCTTCTTTTATTAGATTAGTGAGCCATTGGTTTGACATAATGTCAAACAGATCATCGAATCTGGCTTTTGGTCTGTTGAATAAGAAAGCATATGAAGAAACAATGGACCACATCAAGAAAACTGCTTATGTATTTTGTTTTATGATAGTAGGCACTGATGGGCACTGGAAGCCTTGTCAAACAGGCGTTATCATGGCATGCGCAAGCATCATTGGCTTGCAAGATTATTTTTTGTGCAATCGTTGCTACAAGTTTATACTTACTGGTCGGTTTTGTCAGTGTAGTATTGAAAACCTTTTTTCTGCCTTGAGAGTGAAACAACCCATTCCAAACTCTCTCCAAGTAAAACAAAATTTAAAGGTTTTGGTGCTGAGCCAGGTCTGCATTAATGCTAAGAATAGCAGCTACGACAATGATACGTATGATAAAGGTGTTGAGGATATAACAATGGATTTTATGAAATTTTCTAGAAATATAGCTATAGCACAACGTAAAGAAAATGTTATTGAAGAATTGATGGAATCATCTGCTTTAGTATTGCCTCAACTAAAAGATCATCACATAAACATATTAGATTCTTGGGAGTTGCAGATCTTATATGACATGGCAGGGTCAGTTGTTCATAGTATAAAAATAAGTAGCACGACAGTTTGTGATGTGTGTCTCAATTCCGTCCTATGGCAGGGGAGCGACCGCCATCCTTCCCTCGTAACTGAAATGAGAAATTACAAACACAAGAACCTCTTGGAAGTTTCCGATGAATGCTTCAAAGCAATCGCAAAATCAGAAATAACATTCAAAGAAATACGGCATGATTTGTGTGAAGCTAAAATTAACATGATAGATTTCTTAGTAAAGCAAATGGAATATGTATGGGATGGCTGCAATATTCCCACATGCCATTCTATTACACACAAAATTCTAAAAAAGTTTTTTACTATGAGGCTACGGACATATAGTATTAAACGCTGTGAAGATCTAGCACATCTTAATGGAAGGCGTTACGACAGCAAAACTATGGCTATGCATGCTTCTGTGAAGAAGGTGTTTTCATAAAAATAATGTAATTAAAGTTATGATCTCAATCAGTTTCTTCATTATTGCTAAAACTTTCATTTTCTTTTTGTTATTATGTGATTTTAGCAATTCTTTTTTAATTAAAAAGACTATTTTTTTTATTGAGAAAACTGTTTTGCAGTGCTGTGATAGAAAAAAAATTATATTTTTGTTTAAGTTAGTCTTAGTACTGCATATATAAATGTGACAGGGTAATTATGTGTTAGGCTGTGCCTAGAGATTAAGTATTTGGTCTTGTACTGTCCATTAGCTATATCAAAACAATTATAATTATATACTTATATATTTCTAAATAATTATATATAACATTTATGTAATCGTGCATTAATATATTTATAATTTATGTTTATGCGCGCGTCCACACACACACACACATATTTTCATTTATTTTAAAAAATGTAGAAATTTATAGAATAGCTACAAAATATATTTATACATGTATGTACGTTTACTTTTCAAAATATATTTTGTTATTAATGACATGAGTATGTAATTATTCATTAATATACGTAATCTTGCATATGTAAAGACAATATTTAATGATTTTTAAAATTAATTTCTTACTAATATTACTATTACTATTACTAAAGTTAGTTTCTTACTATTATAACTACTAATAACAATAATATAAGATTATAATTTGCATATTTTGATTTTTATTAAAATTACTTTTGTTGGACCTTTATATTCAATAAGATTAATATTAGGTATATGTGTTTCTTAACAATTACAATAATATGTAAATGTTATTATTGTTAATAATAGCAATGTTATCTAATTAATATAAATATCAATACTTATACGTGTATTATATAATATTAATACTAATACTTATAGTGGATCTTGGTGTATGGCTGTGCTGAGAACAATAGCGTACTTCCATTGCACTGCATATGTATGCATTTGCTGATAGTATATTTCTTTGAAATATTTTAATTGCAAGATAAAAAATAAACAAAAGTCATTTAATAATTCACCAATTATTTCACAATAACAGTAAGAATTCTCTATAATAACAATTTACTTTACACTTATAAAAAAAGTTATCCACATAATAAGGTAATGTCATACAGATATTTGTTGCTGTTGATATAACACCAAAACCTCTAAGATCAAAAACAGTAATAATTAAATTTACATCATACGTTAAACACATTAAATTTACATCATATGTTAAACACGTATTTTATTCTGCATTCGATTTGCATACATCAAATATGTTTTTCATAAAATATATTTTATTTCTCATTCGATCTGTCATACAGAATTTTTTTAATTCTATGAAGTTTCATGTTTTGCTTCAACTTTAAACACCTAATGATTCCGGATTTGACCATATATTCCCTCTGTAAAGCTTGCAACAACTCTAATTTTTCTGAGGATGAAAACTCAGAGTTGTGGCAATGTGCAAACACCTGATTCTGCATGGGATCGCACATTTTCTTTATAAAACGCTTTGATTCTTCTAAGAGTAATGAATCAGAGTTGTGGCAGTACGATATCTGCAGTATTTCCTGAGCTGACTTTATTGAATAACTTTTAAAGGGATGTACATTCAAAAAACTGCAAACTGCAAGAAATCATATACTAAATTATATGGGTGTTTCTACGTAAATAGCGTTTTTTCAGATTGCAAATCTCTCAATTTCAAACATACCTAAAAAAAATTTTTTTTTCCTGTTTTTGAGTGAATATAGAAGCAGAAACATACCCTGAAAGCCAGCGTACTACATCAAAAACCTGAAAGTAATGGCTTATTCATCAGTGATCTGGTAAAGTGCGGTAATGAGTCGACTTTGCATGTCTAGTAAAATATTGAATTATTTCAACAATGAGTGATTTTGAGAGAAAATGTCAAAAAAATTCCTAAAATTACTTGTTCCCGAGATAAATTCACAATTAGCAAAAAAATTCAATTTGATAAATGCCGGTTTACCATTTTTGACACATTTTCTAGAGCGACTCTACATCGTGGAGTCGCTTTTTTAACCATCTGTAAATATAAAAATCATTTTATTTCAACGTTTTTTACCGTGTTTGATTTTATTTCAACGTCAAACCCATGAATGGCCAGGTGAATGACATGCCAGTAGACTGACATTTCATGGTTGAATTAATCTCACTTTCTCCTGAATTGACGTAAACCAATTTCCATTAAAAATCAAGTTTAGCCTACTATCATCAGAATTTTACCACTAAAAGAAAAAATTTACTGCGATATAATAAAAAAAGATGTGCCAGGCAAATGACGCGTAATTTTATGACATACCTTTTCTCAAGTGAAATACACGATTACGATTGTATCACGCTCAAAACAACCAACCACCAACAATGTAAACAACACACCTGATGTCCAATTCTTGAAATCTCCACACCAGACTCCCATTGAATCGATGCAACATAGCGGAACCGCGGTAAAATTCAAAATGTGCAATTTTACTCCATATGTCCGGACCAAGTTTGAAGCCGGTTTTTTCGGTTCCAAAGGGAGATTTGTTTAATAATGATGTTAAAATCTTAGTTTTATATTATGATTGAATGAACATCGAAAATTTTTAATTGAGTTTGCAATTGGAGGGAGTAAGTGTAACTGGAATAGAGAATTTTCGACAATGGACAGGCCAGGTAACTGACATTTTTAGGAGTTTCTGCATGTTTCCATTGGATAAGCCACTCCCCAATTAGCAGATTATTGTGCGATACTTCAAATACGATGCAGTAGTGAACTTTCACAAC